CTTCGTTGGGATCCAGGTCCCGCCGGACGTGCTCATATTCGCGGGACTTTCTCTTCTCGAAGGTGGACAGGCGCAGGATGCGGCGGAAATTGGCGAATTATCAGTTTTTCTTGTTTTGAGATAGGCTAATAGTGCTATGAACTTCCCTCTCAGGACTGATTTTACTGCGTCCCATAGGATTTGGATTGTTGTGTGTTCATTGTCATTTGTATCCAGAATCTTTTCCCCTTATTTTCATCTCTTTGGTAACTCATTCATTGTTTAATAACATGGTATTTAGGGAGACTGTAGTCCGCCGCGCGCCCGCGAGCTCCGGGTGGGTCCTGGGGAGTTCTAGGGCCCCCCTGGACGGCGCCGTCCTGAGTCTGGAAGACCAGCCACGCCTTGTGGCGCCCCAAGTTTCTTTGCCAAGGAGACGGAGAACGAATTGGCCTTTCCCGAGCGCGCCCCGATTGTGGTCCGAGGGCCAACAAGGTGAACCGGCTTTAAGCATTGAATCCGCCCCCGACCCGCCCTCGAGGTTGCGCTGCTCGCGCTCGCTTTTCAGGTGGTGGCGCCCGGTTGGGGAACCACCGGCCCGGGCTACCCATCCGCCGGCGGATCCGGTGGGTTAAATTGACTTAGCAAGGGTTCTTGCTAAAACTAGATTTTATAAGGACATACACAGATAGGCTTAGGAGAAAGTTTCGGAGGCTGACTATAGTTGGATCAAGCAAGGAGTCTTTGTCAGAGGCCAGCTTGAAAATTATAGCAATCTCTACACAATGTAAAGTTTCCCTTCCATGGAATATTAGTATATAAAGTTTACTATGGAATAATTGTAAGATTCTACTTTTAATATGGGTGACTCATGAGTCCCTTGTTTTAGATAGTTAGCAGAGAAATTAGTTTATCATTCAGGGCTTTCCAGAGAGATAGAACTGCTAGTGTGTTCTCTCTCTCTCTCTCTCTCTCTCTCTCTCTCTCTCTCTCTCTCTCTCTCATATTTTATTGATTTCAGAGAGGAAAGAAGAGGGAGAGATAGAAATATCAATGATGAGAATCACTGATCTTCTGCCTCCTGCACGCCCCCTACTGGGGATTGAGCCCTCAAACCGGGCATGTGCCCTTGACTTGAATTGAACCTGGGACACTTCAGTCCTCAGGACGAGGCTCTATCCACTGAGCAGAACCGGCTAAGGCGTCTCTCTCTCTCTCTCTGTCTCTCTCTCTCAATGATAATGCCCAGTGCCATGCTCATACCTTGTTAATGTGAATAAAAATGTGTACTTTGAAAGTGAGTTTGGAGAAGTTCTCAAATCTTTTTTTTAACCTTTTTATTGAATTTAATGGGGTGACATTGATAAAATTATGTGTTTCAGGTGTACAGTTCTATCATACACCATCAGTATGTATTGTGTGTTTACCACCCCCAGTCAGGTCTCCTTCCATCACTGCCTACCCCCCTGTACCCTCTTCTACCTGCCCTCTTCCCCGCTTCCCCTGGTAACCACTATACTCACAGGCGTTCTCTTGTTCCCCAACCCTTAATACAAACCAGTTACTCCTCTAAGTTCCTGCCTGATTCCTTCTCAGCTCTTCAGAGCTGCAATGATTTCATCCCTAAATTCGTTAGTTGTACGGAAGTTTATCCATATAGAACTCCTATTATATTTCTAAATTAGAACTGCTTTGAAACAGTTTATATAACATAGACATGATTTGTTCCTTAATGGTTTTGAGAAACCTCCCCATAAAACCACCTGAGCCAGGTATCTTTTCTTAGCATTTCATCATTGATTACTTTCTTTGTAAGCCAGTTTTCATAAAATAACTCCTATTTATCTAAGTCTGTGCTGTCCAATATGGTAACTGTTGGGGTCCAACCCCAGCAGGTCCAGGGGTTCCCAAAGGTGTGGACAGAGTCGGCAAAGAAGGAATGACACGGAGAAAGCGTTCAGCTGATCAGCAGGTATTTTTGTAACATTTGGGTTTTTTACTGATTTATTCCCTTCCTTAGTCCTGTTAATCCCTTACTCCAGGGAAAAATCCCCACCTGGGGAAACAACCTTTCTCGGAGAGGTGACCTTGGTTAAAACACATAGCGCTAAGAAGGGGAGCAAACATATGCCATATACTCCAGGTCACTTGAAACATAAGCTGTGCTGCCCTAACCAGTTTGGCTCAGTGGATAGAGCATCAGCCTGCGGACTGAAGGGTCCCAGGTTCGATTCCAGTCAAGGCCATGTACCTTGGTTGCGGGCACATCCCCCATAGGAGGTATGCAGGAGGTAGCTGATCAATGTTTCTCTCTCATCGATGTTTCTAACTCTCTATCCCTCTCCCTTCCTCTCTGTAAAAGATCCATAAAATATATTTTTAAAAAAAAGAAAGAAACATAAGCTGTGCAGATGTTTCTTCTCTGCAGCAACTGTCAAGCAGCAAGGGTGGACCGGCTTCCGGCAGGTAACCACTAGCTAGATATGGCTGTTAAGCATTCAACATGGCCCTAGCCTGTTTGGCTCAGTGGATAGAGTGTGGGCCAGCAGACTGAATGGTCTCAGGTTTGATTCTAGTCCAGGGCACCTACCTCCTACCTCGGTTTCAGGCTCCATCCCTGGCAGGAGGCAATCAATCAACATCCATGTTTCTCTCTGTCTCTCCCCCTCCTTCCACTCTCTCTAAAAATGGAAAAATATCTTCGGGGTAGGATTAACAGAAACTAAAAATTGAAAAAGAGAAAGCACCCAATATGTAACTAGCCCAAATAGAGATTTGCTGTAAGTATAAAATACACACTGGGTTTCAGAGTTACTATAAAATGGATTGTACGATTTCACTTATATATGGAATCGGAAAAAAAAAAAAAGCATAAACCTGAACTCAGAGAGCAGACTGGTTTCCAGGAATGGGGAAATGGTAAAGGTGGTCAAAGGGCACAACTTCCAGTTATAAGATGAATAAGTTCTGGGCATCTAATGTACAGCATGGTGGCTACACTTAACTGTGCTGTGCCAGCACAGCCAAGGGTGAGCCTGAGGAGGGGCAGTGATGGATTGAAGAAGAGACAGAGAATACAGCTGGGGCTTGGTGGATCTCCCCTGCCTGGATGAGGACACAGAAGACCCAGCCTGCAAGCTGTAGCTTTATTTATAGTCTGATTAACACAAGAGTAGATTAACATGCATACAAATGTTCTTGTTTTTGCAACACTCGTTGCACCTCCCACAGCCCATTAGCTACTTAGGAAGGAATTAGGGAGGGCTACAAGGTCAGGCTTCATTATGCTAGGAGAGCTCTGCCCTCCAGACGGACTTGTTTGTGGCCCTGCCACAGGCCAGCCCGAGGCCTGACCCTAGAGCTGCTCCCTACACTTAACAATACTGTATTGTACACATGAAAGTTGCTAAAAGAATAGATCTGGAAAGTTCTCACCAGAGACAAACAAACAAATAAATATGAGGTGATAGATGTGTTCACAACCTTATTGTGGTAAGCATTTCACAACATGAACCTATGTCAAATGATCCCATTGTACATCTTCAACTTACACAATGTTATATGTCAATCATATCCCAATAAAGCTGGGCGGGGGGGGAAGGATTCTAAAAGAATTTTAGAATATGTTGATTACAAATTGAAATATTTTGGATACATTGGATTAAATAAAATTATCAAAACTAGTTTCATTTTTTAAATGTATACACCAGAAAATTTAAAACTACATATGTGATGTATTTGTAGCTTGTGTTATATATTTTTTGGATAGAGCTAATTTAGATTTTCAAAGTATTGGTACAGAGTTGTGCATAGTATTCTTAAATATATTTTAATCTCTTCCTTACCAATAGCTTCCCTTCTCATTACTTTTTTGTTGTTTGTTTTTGTTAATCCTCACCCAAGGATATTTTTCCATTGATTTTTTAGGGAGAGTAGAAGAGAGAGGGAAAGGCACAGAGAAATCTATGTGAGAAAAACACATCAATTGGTTGCCTCCTGCATGAGCCCCGACCAGGGCCTGGGCCAGGGAAGAGCCTGCAACTGAGGTACATGCCCTTGACCGGAATCAAACCCAGGACCAATGCAGGCCCAACGTTCTATCCATTGAGCCAAACCAGCTAGGGCCTCACTCTTACTTTTTTTCAATCTTTTCTTCTCGCCGAAACCGGTTTGGCTCAGTGGATGGAGCGTCGGCCTGCGGACTGAAAGATCCCAGGTTCGATTCCGGTCAAGGGCATGTACCTGGGTTGCGGGCACATCCCCAGTGGGAGTTGTGCAGGAGGCAGCTGATCGATGTTTCTAACTCTCTATCTCTCTCTCCCTTCCTCTCTGTAAAAAATCAATAAAATATATTTTAAAAAAAAATCTTTTCTTCTCTTATCATACTTGCCAAAAAAATGGTCTGTTCTTATTGATCTTTTCCTAAAGCCAGCTTTTTAACTACTAGTTTATATAAAATCGGGGAGACAGAGGACATGTTAGCACATTGGAGATAGAATCTGCACAAATCAAGATTGTTTTCCTCTACATGACAATCTGGATTCTCCAACAAACAAATTGCAAAAAGAGTAAGAAAGATAGAAAGGGGGAACTTCACGATACTTATGAAGTGGTCTAAAGGTAACATGTAGTTACACTGGAGTCCTGACTTAAATAATTCATCTGTTAAAAATATACCATAAAAGGGGTGGGGTGTCAGTTGGGGGGAAAGGAGACATATGTAATACTTTAAACAATAAAAAAATGTAAAAAGGTATATAAATGTCTAGGCTCTGTTCTGCACCTGAATCTAATATTATATGTCAATCATATTTAAAAACAAATTTTAACAAACAGCGACATTTGCATGCTGACTGGATATTTGATAACATTAAGAGATAGTCATTGTTTCTTTTTAGGTATAAAAGTATGTGGTTATTGTTTTATTTTAAAGTCACTCTTTTTGAAATATTGAAATTTTTACAGATGAAAAGTCATAGCTGAGACTTGCTTCAAAATAACACAGAGATGGTGGTGGTGGGTGGGTGGAGTATCGATGAAACAAGATTGGCCCTGAGTTGATCATTATTGAAGCTAAGTGGTTACATGCAGGTATATCACACTAACCCGCTCTGGGAC